TAAATGTATAAAACAAAAAAAAAAAAAGAATTTAATCTGTGTTTTGCTTACTTATAGTAGTTAAAGAAGTTAAAAGTAGTATTTATTTTCTTTTCCAAGTATAAAACCCTAATAGTGAACTTGCTTTTTCAGATGGCACATGCCCAGTTCATGCTCCACAGTGCAGACATGCTCCTGGTCCCTTCCTCCGTAACAGGCAGATACGCCAGGTCTGTCTCTGCCTTCCTGAAATCAGGAGCAGCTGATACAGCCCCAGATTTCATAAATTTCATAGGCAGGACAAACATACCTTCTCCTGGCTCAACACTAGGAAGCCACTAAGGAGCCATCACTGACATCATGTTAGTGGCATTTCCTGAAAAGCTTTTGTTTTAAGCTATTTCCTCTGGTCTCTTCCAGAGTAACCTTCATATAACCACTCTGATATTATAGCTCAGGTCAGGACTTGGCAGGATCATCTAAACCACCAGCCTACCGATCCTGCAAAAGAAAATACATTTGTATTAATCAGATAATTAATACCAGATGTTGCAAAATGAAAATGAAACTAAAACACCAACCCCCAAGGATCGATGTGGCTAAGAGCAAAAAAATCTAACTTTCGCTCCTGCAGCGTGAATGTCCCTGTTCAGGGACTCTCTAGATAGCTCTTTTCTGAGTCCATTATCTTGTGGATCTGCCATCCTAAAATCTTTACTTCCAGCCTCATAGAAGGGGAAGGAATATGGGAGGGCCCGGTAGGTAGGACACTTTAGGACTTCTCCCTGGAAGTGATATATGTCACTTTACCTTCATTCCTTTGGCCAAAACTTCCACAGAGTCTACCTAATTCAACTCAAGGGGCTGAGAAATATAGTTCAGTTATGTGTCTAGGACGGAAAGGGTATTTGGTGAGCATGTAGGAATATTGTTGCCACAGGACTTATATATAAAATTTATATAGATACATACGTACATACTATATATTATATATACACATGTACCTACCTATAAGCCTATATATGTGTCTATATATAAGCATATATGTATAGATATAAATTTCATTCTAGTTAAGAAGGTGATAATGTGGGGGAAATGTGACCAAGTCCAGAAACTGGCTAACTATGCTTCTTTGGCTGAAATTCACATACCTCTAAAATGGAGAATTTCAGGGCGCCTGGGTGGCTCAGTCGGTTGAGCGTCCGACTTCAGCTCAGGTCATGATCTCACAGTCCATGAGTTTGAGCCCCGCATCGGGCTCTGTGCTGACAACTCAGAGCCTGAAGCCCACTTCAGAATCTGTGTCTCCCACTCCCTCTGCCCTTCCTCCACTCATACTCTGTTTCTCTCTCTCTCTCTCTCTCTCTCTCTCTCTCTCTCTCTCTCTCAAAATAAATAAACATTAAAAAAAAATTTTTTAAATCCCCAGTGGTAATTTGATGAGATTGTTTTGAAAATTTAAAATTCAGAGCTTGTACATATTAATGTTAAAGACAGATAGAGGGGAGAATTCTGTCTGCAGCCCAGTGAGTTTTTGGCTAAGCGCCTCAAGAACCCAAAAGGAGAAATGGGGTCGATTGTTTTATTGATGCACATTAAAAACCACGGTCTGTTCTTCCATGATCTTTCCCTTGTGAATTTGTGGTGGCCACTGTGTTTATGGTGCTCTCCATAGATACTAAAGAACCCTATAAACTTAATGCCCAGTAAACTTAATGAGGAATCAAATAAAGGATGCTTAGAATCACAGAAAGCAAGTGCAGGAAATTGGGAGTGACTGGGGGACTCGGTGTTCACTTTGCTCTCTTTATTTAATCAACAAAAAAAATAACTGGAGAGAAATGATCAACATGGAGAGGAACTCCATTCACAGTCCTACTTCTCCAGCATCAATAAGCTAATATTCTTCTTTATACTTAGTATCTGATGAGAAATACGTTATGAGTTTATATTTTATTAATATTGTTCATCAAAGATGGTTAATAGCCACCCACATAAAATTTTTTAAAATAACGCAACTCAGATCAAAGCAGACCAGCTTATGACTGCCTTGAGGTCTGCCTGGGTGCCAAAGTTGCAGTGAACCCTATCACAATAGATTAGACTTTCCTGGTGTGCATCGATTTGCTCGTTATAGATAATTTGGATATTTTAGAAAATAAGAAAATTAATCACACACAGAAAACACTTCAGCGGAAACCACGGTTCAGCTTCTGATGTGCTTCTTTCCAATCCTGTTCCCAGGCATAGAATTTTTGCTTTGTCTTTTCATGTATATAATGAACATGGAAAACTCAAAGTAGAATATTATGTAAAAATTGTCAGTAGGATCAATCAAAGAATCATTGTGTTAGAAATTCCCAAGTAACTAAAACCTACTCTTCACAAATACAAAGCCAGCCCTATCTCCCCTGATTCAGGAAATGAGGCATCCCAGCATACACCCAGGGCACAAACACTGTGTATTTCTGCAGATGTTAAGAGAAGCCAAGGAGAAAGAGAAGCAGAGGTTGGCCCAGCAGCTCACGGCCGAGAGGACCGCACACTACGGGATGCTGTTTGATGAGTATCAAGGTTTGTCACACCTGGAAGCCCTGGAAATTCTGTCCAATGAAAGTGAAAGCAAGGTATGTCAGCCCTGCTCATGTATAATACCATGTTCACTGGGGCACCTGGGTGGCTCAGTTTGTTGAGCGTCTTACTCTTGATTTCAGCTCAGGTCATGATCTCAGGGTCATGAGAACAAGCCCTGTGTCAGGCGCTGTGCTGGGTGTGGAGCCTGCTTAAGATTCTCTCTCTTCTTCCTCTGCCCCTCCCCCTGCTCATGCTCTCTCTCTAAAAAAAAAAAAAATAATAATAACAATAAATAAAATAAAATACCATGTTCACTAATTTGTTTTCTTATACATGAGAGAAACTGGAAAATCTGCCATTAAAATATCTCATGTTTAGGGCCTTGTTAGTAGTGTGCTAGGGTCACAAATATGATACAGTTTGATGACCCCTTGTGCTCCATATTATTTCCTCTCTGTCCTATGCTAAGCTATTACCCCTCCCCGCCCCCAAGAGGGCCAGCAAAATAAGAGTCATCACCACCATACTTCATGGTGCCAAAGGTTGCTCAGAAACTTGCCTGTCAGGCTCCTGGCCCTGTGCTTTCTTTTGGTGATGTACCAGACCAGCGATGCCCTACTAGGCCACATTGCCATATCCACCCAATGAAAACAAAGCAGCTGATGTTTCTTCCAGACTGCAGGGTTTTAATAGAGTTTTATGGGCTAAATAGTGATGTGTTCACCCATTCGTTAAAAAGCTTGGGCCACAAAAGGCAGGATTATCTTGCTGGGGGTTAAAGGTCTATTGGGGGGGGGGCACCTGGATGGCTCAGTTGGTTGAGCATCAGTCTTCAGCTCAGGTCATGATCTCACCATTCGTGAGTTCAAACCCCATGCTGGACTCTGTGCTGACAGTTCAGAGCCCGGAGCCTGCTTCAGATTCTGTGTCTCCCTCTCTCTCTCCCTCTACCCTGCTCTCACTCTGTCTCTCTCTCTCAAAAATAAACAAACATTAAAAAAAAAAAAAGTTCTATCTGGGAATGTTCCAGAATGGAAACCTGGGAATTACCTGATAGCCCTGTACATTCACATCCCCATCACTGTGATCTCAAGAAACAAAATAGAAACAGTAGAAATCAGCAGGGTTTGGGGATTTTTTTTTTTTTAAAGGATCTACGTGGGGGGTGGGGGAGGGTAGTTATTTAGCAAATACTCATATGATACTTATATAGTCACTATTCTAAGTGCTTTAAAACTATTAATTCACTTAGTTATATATACAGCTCTTTTGCCTGGTGTCAGGCTGATTGTACTTTGGGGTGTTTTCCTGGCGGAGCCATAGGGTAGCACCTGCTGAACGTCCTGGGAGGGGCCATAGTTCATCTCAGTGACGTTCACTGGGGACAAGCAGGACCCCTGATGGCAAGAGGAACTTGGAAGTGAGCCTTACAGTAGAGGAGTGATTCTTGACTCTCTCTTGGCCATGTCCTCCATGTTTGCACTTGGAGGGGATACAGACATTCTTGATGCCCACCTAAGCCAGGAAACATGGCCTCTGCCCTATAAGAGGCAACCAAGAACTAAACAGGATGGAAATCCCCCTCCTTCCAGATGATTGAGTTATGTGTCACTTTTCTGTGTTTATTTCTTTTTTATTGTTGTTATCCATGAGCCATCAGGAACAGTCTTGTGGTTAAACTGTTAAAGAGGGTAATTTTTTAAGAACAAAATCATGCCTCATATACAGTTACAAAATGAACGTGAATTAAAGAATTTATTTAGCCTCTTAATTAAATGAAAGAACCAAGCAGATATTATAATTGGTTCAGGGGAAAAGCCAACACACATATTTACGTGGAGTAAAGCAATTTTGAAACCAGTGTGCAAATGGTCATAAACCACAGGAGGTGAGGCTGTTCCTCTGCTGGACAGAATCTATTCATACGTCTATAGACTAGAATTATTTTGCACTGCTCTCAGCTCGTGCCATCCAAAGAGTTGTGAAGTTGCTCCCATAGACTCGGAATCAGATAACCTGGTAACGTGTGCTCTAGAAAATGTAGTTTTCCACTGAATCACAAATCTTTCCCTATAAAAGCTGGGCTTCGAGTCAGACATTACGCGATCAAATACCACTCAGTAGTAGCTGTATGATTTTGGACCCATCTTACCTCAATCTCCTTATCTGTGAAATGGGATTAATAATAAAACCTACCTCATAGCAGCATTAAAGAATTAAATGAGATAATCCACGTGAAGCCAGTTGCAGCTTGCTGAATAGATAATAAGTACTCAATAAATGTTAGCTGTCTTTTTATACATGTTTATGTATATGCATATATAAGGTTGATGACATTTTATTTTTACATGCATTCTTATATGTGTGTGTATGTGTGTTGTTTTAATTAAAAACATAACACGGATGTGTGGTCTCTTGTAGTTATCATAGTGGTAGAGAGATTCCATTCTGGAGAGTTCCATTGCAATTTTCAGCTGTGAAAGAGTCCCAGGTCCTTAGAAAAGAGCCCCAAACGACTGACGTTGCTCGGAAGGAGGTTTGGTCCCTGGAGGGATACATTTCCCTCTGTTTACACACTGTTCTACAAGCTCTGCTTTTGTTCCCCCAGCCTAGAGATTTTTATAGATTCATAGTAGGGAATGCAGAACTTTTTCTTGGATTAGTAATGCGTTACTGGGTGCTATAAAAAAAAAGTCCTAAAAATATATGGGTCAAATCAGTAGGCATTATCCTCATTCTAGAACCATCCAAGATGGGAGTGCCTGGTCATCAGGCAGCTTTCCTGAATTAGGGGTTCAGGAGCCACGCTCTGTCCATCTCATGGCTCCACTAGATCCGTCCTGATGTTCACCTGCCTCAGGCAAGAATACAAATGGAGACCCTTACTGGGGTTGTCAGATTTAGCAAATAAAAATACAGGATGACAAGATAAGCTTTAACTTTTAATAAACAATGAATACTTCTTTTTAAAATGTTTTTAATGTTTATTTTTGAGAGAGAGAGACACACACACACGCAGAGTATGAGCAGGGGAGGGATAGAGAGAGAGGGAGACACAGAAGCCGAAGAGGTCTCCAGGCTCTGAGCTGTCAGCACAGAGCCTGATGCAGAGCTCGAACTCACAAATGGTGAGATCATGACCTGAGCTGAAGTCAGACGCTTAACTGACTGAGCCACCCAGGCGCCCCAACAATGAATACTTTTTTAACGTAAATATGTCCTCTGCAATATTTGAGACACACACTTACACTAAGAAAGTATTCATCATTCAAATTTAACTAGACCTCCTCTACACACCAAATTCTTGGAAGTTAAAGGAGTTTTGAAACAAACTGTTAAAAATATATATATATTCTGTCATCCTACCCTAACAAATACACTTTTATAATGACTTTGAAGGCCTGGTTCCCATTCAGACTTCTCACACTCCTCACATTTCCGTACTACCCTCCTGCCTGCTCTCCTGTCTTTATTTCCAGCTATCTTTCACTTCAAGGGCTTTATATGTACATGTGAGGATACCCTAGTTCAAGTTCCATCCACGCCACTGCTAACAGCCACCTCTTAGACCTAGGGGTGCACCCTCCAGTGGATGGTCCTGCCATAAGGAGCACATCCTGAGTAGAGATCCATACAGGCTGAGGGAGGGAAACTTTAGCAACTTTAGTACCTAGAGAGTGGTTTGGAAGAAGGAGTGTGGGCTCTGGGTGGGCACATCCCTTTGGCCCTGTGGACTCCCCTGTGTCTGAGTCTAGAGCATTGGATTTCACCATCTTCTAGGCCCTCTTTGTTGTCTTTATCCCACCAGCACAAGGACAGAAAGGTGTAGAGGGTACACTCCCATTTTTTAAGAGCCTTGACCTGAAAATGATACACATCACCTCTGCTGACCTTGCTATTGGCTAAAACATAGACACATTATATGGAAATATAAGGAATTATTATCATTACTACTCTACTAGATTGACTCTAGGATGGCAACAGGCATGACAATGTGGTATACTATAAACCTTATGAAAAAAACTAATCATTTTAATTGCTATTATACACAATAGCTCACAAGAACAGTAAGCAAGAATCTTCAAAATGGCACTCTATACTCCCTCTCAGGGAAAAGATTTACAAGGCAGACTGTCTACCCTTGTGTTCCCATCAACACTTAGCAGAATGCCAAGCATATAGTCAGCATTCTATGAATATTTATTGAGGAGTGCATGATTATTTATTATTGGATTGAAATAAAGATTCAACGCTCATCACCTTGGCATAATGGAATGAACTAGGAGGAAGCAAAAGAGATACTGTAGTAGAAAGATGCTGACAATAGATTCCTTTGTTAAAAAGAATCCTTTCCAAAGGATGCCCAAGGCATACAACCCCAGTGCATTCCCTCCCAGAGGATGGCTCCCCTCCAGAAGACATGAGGAAACCATAATGCCCCACATTTTCACTAAGTGTTGTGCTCAAGCACATTTATTCAATAATTACCTTTTTTATTTTACTCTTTGAAAACTGCTGTTTAAAAATACATCTGAATTGTAGGAATCTGATGTGAGCCTATCTTGGACCCTGAGACCTAATCATGAATATCTGAGCTGAAAAGAAGCTCTTAAAAGGTCAGAGCCAAAGGACGTGGGGGCAGCCATCATGCAGGGTGCGTTTGCCTCCACCTGCTGAACTCCATGACTGATGGGTTTGTGTGGATGCCTTCCTGCCATGCTTCCTTCCGGAGCTCCTTCCCATTGCATTCTGTCCTCCTGATATACATGACAACTTCTAAGAAAATGTTTTCCTGGCATCCCTGATGCCCTCTCTAACCCTCTCGCTTACCCTGATGTGTGAATCTACAACCATAATGAATACGAAAACATATTCCAGGGGGCATTGCGGCTCCTCTGCTGGTTCTGGCTCCAGAGCAAGTGTTTGACCTGCAGAATGAAAACTTTACTACTTTACAGTCTTATGTCATTTTTTGTATGGTTTTTCCATGCACTATGGCCATTTTGAAAGTTCAAATCAGTCTTCAGATTCACAGAGGATGGCTGGCCATGTGTGCAAATAATTTTTAAATGTTTACCGCGGTCAGTTTCAAAAGAGGGTCTCTGAAGACAGTGAACAGGGAAGTTGTCAGCTCAAGCATCATCCTCTGTGAAGTCTCCCTGCCCACCCTCTTGTCTCCCCAAGTGGGACTGAAGTCGCCTCCCTGGTGCCCCACTGCCCCTCCATTCACATCTGTCATGGCCGTTAGCGGTTAGCCTGGGCTTTCCTCCAATAGACTGCAAGATCTCTGAGAAGAAAAATGTGTCTCATGTGTTTTTGTAGCCCTGGTGTATAACCCACATCTAGCAAGTAATAATGTATGTATATCTGTATATGTAAAACATTTCTTTATGTGTTTGTTTATATGTATATGTATTATACATACATATGTTAATATTCTTTTATGTTAACCTACATGAAATATATGTAATTTCTTGACTGTCACTGTAAGTACTTTTAAATACATTATCTCATTTAACCCTCAAAACAACCTTACAAGGGAGATGCTATTAGAACCCATTTTACAGATAAGGAAGGAAAGACATAGAAAGGTTAAATAAATTATCCCAGGTCACACAATTCATAAGTGAGGGACTCATATTTGTTGTTTTTTTTTTTTTTTTAAGAGTGAGAGATAGCAAGCAGGGAAGGGACAGAGGGAGAAAGAGAATCTTAAGCAGCCTCCATGCTCAGCACAGAGCACAGAGCCCGATGTGGGGCTCAATCCCATGACCTTGAGATCATGACCTGAGCCGAGATCAGGAGTCAGTCGATTAACTGACTGAGCCACCCAGACGCCCCACGGGGCTCATCTTTGAATTCAGAGTTGACAACATGTGTGTTTTTAACCACTTGGCTACAAGAGCTGCCACCACAATTTACTTAGCGTCTGCCTTTTGCACCCGTGTCTCGTACTTCACGGTCACTATTTCATTTACGTCACAAAGGATCACAATGAAGTGTGGCTCTCCCTTTAAAGTTGTAAAAGCTGAGGCCCAGGGAGCTTATGTAACTCACCCAAAGTTGCAAGGTTCATAGGCAGTAAATCCAGCGTTCAACCTGGCATTACCCCCCGCCGCCCCCCCCACACACACCACCAATCGCCTGAGTCCTGGGAGAACTGGGGACGGCCCTGTGTAAATGTGAAAAGATGACAGTTACACTGACCTATTTCTGTTTTCAGGTTCAGTCATTTTTAACATCGCTTGATGGAGAGAAGCTGGAACTCTTAAAAAACGACCTAATTTCCATTAAAGACATCTTTGCAGCCAAAGAATTGGAGAATGAAGAGAATCAAGAAGAACAAGGTAAAAGAAAATAACCGGTTAAACAGCAAAACAAAGTGTTGGTATGATCCTTCAGAAACGGCTGTTAATAAACCCAGCCCTTTGAACAGGGGATGATTTAATGCAAGTGCCCCTCCTCCTCGCTTCCAGAACACTCTGTACATCTGCTCTTGTTACAGGAGCTGGTCGCATTGATCTGTAGGGCGGGAACTCCTGACTGACGCATCTTCATTTCTCTGGTGGGCAGCACAGTTCCTGACACATCACGGCACACAGTAAACTCGAATGGTCACATGGACCAAGAACGCAGTGCCCTGAGCAGGGCCCTGATGACTGGAGTTTATGCTCTGATATCTAATTTCGTATCTGCATGCAGTGGGCAGGGCTTTTCATGGATTTCTTCTTGTATTTTTCTTTTCTTTCTTTTTTTATTTTTTAAGAATTTATTTATTTTGGAGGGGCAGAGAGAGAGAAGGAGAGATGAGCATAGAACCCAACGTGGGGCTCAATCTCACAACCCTATCATTACTTGAGCTGAAATCAAGAGTCGGACACTTAACCAGCTGAGCCACCCAGGCTCGCCTGAGAGTAATTTCTTACTGAGGTCATCACCTAGCACTGCAACCACAGTTGTTCAGGTTATGCTAACAGACAACCATGACCACACAGGCTGACTTCTCCTGGGACTCTCTCAAGGTCCCATTTGAAACATTTCCACCATTTACTGGCTGCATGGCCTTGAACAAGTTAGGTAACCTTTCTGAAACTCGTTATCTTCACCTGCTAAATGGAGACAATTATACAGATTCCCAAGGGCTGTTGTGAGGCTCAAGTTAGAGAATATATGTAAAAATATTTATTACAGAGCCTGGCACACAGAACTGCTCAAAAACATTAGCTGGTATTGTTATTTAAAGTGCTAAAACAATGCCGGGACAATAGTAAAGGTACAATCAATTGTAGCTTTTATTTATGATTGTATTTGTTATTACCCACACAGCATAGCGATCATGTGCCTTCATACCCATCAAAGAGCCGGAAGTGTTCTGTGCCCAGGTGTGTTACGTACCTTTAATCAAGGCTCAAGCACGAGAGCCAAGCGCTTCAGCCTCGTTGCTCAGGACCAGATTATTCTAGGCATTTGCAAACTTAGTTAAATACCATCTCCCACTTTAGTCCTTCATAGAGACCTTATGTGCCTTCAGTTTAATGAGGTTTATGCTCATTGCATCAAAATAGAAGACTCAGTTATAGGGGCGCCTGGGTGGCGCAGTCGGTTGGGCGTCCGACTTCAGCCAAGTCACTATCTCGCGGTCCGTGAGTTCGAGCCCCGCGTCAGGCTCTGGGCTGATGGCTCGGAGCCTGGAGCCTGTTTCCGATTCTGTGTCTCCCTCTCTCTCTGCCCCTCCCCCGTTCATGCTCTGTCTCTCTCTGTCCCAAAAATAAATAAACGTTGAAAAAAAAAAAAAAGACTCAGTTATACAGGACAATAGAAAGAAGTCAATATCAAAGAGACTATTGGAGAAGAATGTTTTTGAGATTTGTGTGTTTCTACAAAAGTCACAAAGAATGACAGCCTTGTCTTTGTTTTAATAATGAGAAACTAAGACACTAGCTGTCAAAGTTCACGCACATGGTATTATGGGCCCAAGATGAACCAATAGGGATGCCTGTTTTCCAGAGTAACAATCACCAGAAAGATCCAGATTATTTCTCTTTGGTTTCATGATGCCTAAGGTAGACCTTGATCCTAATGGGGGAGTCATTGAGAACGACATAAAGAAGATCCCAGATTTCCCCTAATGTCAGTACTGTTGCCAGTGCAACTTAAAGCAGCCCTGCATCCCCAACTAGGGTAATTTCTTAGAGAGGAACCTTGGTTCAATACTGTTAATACTGTTAATGCTACCATATATGATGTGTTTCAGTCAATACAGAGCTTTAGTAAATTGGGCTTTTTTCATATGACAAAAACAAAAAACAAAAATTGAAGTCCTGGACAGCATGCTTAAGAAATGGTAGACTTTCTCTCCTTAAGTGACAGAACTCTATTACTGCCCATAATACATCCATTTTCCCAAAGGGCATCTCCAGATTATCAAAACACTATTAATTTTAATTAATTTAATAGATAAATGTAAAACACGTAAAGAAAAACTGGGAGAAAAGAGTAGCGGGGTTGCCATTAAATCAATCCAGTTATGATGGAGCATGACAACTCCATAGAGGTGGACAGATTATCTAAAAGCTGTAAAGAGTTATCTCATCAGTGGGGGTGAGCGGACGAGCCAGGAACACTCTGAGAGAAACCAGAGCATTCGCATCCATTTTTTTTTTTCTTGTAAGCATTTACATTCCTAAAGACCCCTTAACATGTAAATAATTTATTTGCAAGTCTTGGAAAATATAACAAATTGTCGTTTTCGGCTAAACTCAACATCAGGCTCCTCTGCCTTTGATAATATTAGCTAATGATTTGCATGATTGTCTTTCCAGCAGTGTGTAATTTTATCACACTACTATAGGTCTCTAATTTGGTTTACCGCTGTCGTGAAGAGGTTCTAAAAGGCCATTTTCTATTTTTATCGCTTCAGTGAAGATCTTGACCACATGTACGAACCAAGAGTTGTAGTAATAGATATTCTTTGTTGCAACAGTATTGATCATCAGTTTTTATCTACTTCTGTTTTTCTCTACTTCCATTTTTCTCTGTGGCTTTTTTTCCCCTAAGATATCTGCTAAAAGTTATTGGTATCTTTTTCTGTTGTATAGAACAAATGCACATTTAAAAGCTGGAGAGGGGTACCTGGGTGGCTCAGTCAGTTAAGCATTTGACTCTTGATCTCAGTCAGGTCTTAATCTCAGTGTCGTGAGTTTAAGCCCCGCACTGGGCTCCATGCTAGGTGTGGAGCCTGCTTTAAAAAAAAAAAAAAAAAGTGGAGCTACACAAAGTATTTGCATCCTAATTTAGCATTGATGATTCCCAAATATTTTTAATCTCCCTATGTTTTTTTTTAATGTGTATTTATTTATTTTGAGAGAGAGAGAGCAGGGGAGGGGCAGAGAGAGAGGGAGAAAGAGAATCCCAAGCAGGCACTGTGCTGTCTGCACAGAGCCCAATGCAGGGCTTGATCCCATGAACCATGGAATCATGACCCGAGCCAAAATCGAGGTTGGATATTCAACCGACTAAGCCACCCAAACACCCCAATCTCCCTATGTTTCTATCTTTGTAGCACATAACAACATAGTTGATAATATTTTAGTGTTTACAAATACTTTCACGTTTGTTACATTATTTGATCTTTACAACAGTGCTACAGCAGAGATGGATGGGTTTTTTTTATCTAAATTTAGAGGAGGGTATGGAAGCCAAGAAGACCCATGACTAGCCCCAGGCCATATATTCTCTAAATGCAGGAGCTGGGGTAGAACCCATGCCTTCCACAACTAAGTCCAGGGCTCTAACTTCCCTGCATCATTGCCTCACACAGAACAAGAAGTGAGAAGAACCAGGCAGTTTGGCAATGAGCCCTTGCTGATGCTGCACAGATGTGTGCCTGCCCCTCTTACTTTGCCTACTTAGGGAGGGTGAGATCAAGACTCCTGCCCAGCAGAGAGAGAGAATCTCAGCTTTGTCTCTGTCTCCCTAGCCCTTCATCTCTCCTTTCTTGCAAGTAGTTAATGAGAAGGCATTAGGTTGAAGACTAGGTTCAGGTAATCACCTCCTCCAGGAAGCCTTCTTAATACCCCTCTCAGGGCAAGATTTGGTGCTGTAAAAGCCTTCTCAATTAGTGCGCTTACCTCTTCGGGTTAGAACGATGCTTGTGTCAGCTTCATCCTGAACAAAGACAGCCATCTCTCTCTCTCTCTCTCTCTCTCTCTACCGCCAAGGTACACACCTCCCTGTCCCTGCTGCAGCCACCCTGGCCTCCTTGCTGTCCCTGCGCAAGCCGGGCACACTCCTTCTTGGACTTTTTTTTTTTTTTTAATTTTTTTTTTCAACGTTTATTTATTTTGGGGACAGAGAGAGACAGAGCATGAACGGGGGGAGGGGCAGAGAGAGAGGGAGACATAGAATCGGAAGCAGGCTCCAGGCTCTGAGCCATCAGCCCAGAGCCTGACGCTTGAGCCTCGAACTCCCGGACCGGCGAGATCGTGACCTGGCTGAAGTCGGACGCTTAACCGACTGCGCCACCCAGGCGCCCCTCCTTCTTGGACTTTGTGTTGGTGGTGTCTCTGCCTGGAGATCTCTTCCCGTGCCCCATCTGATGTTGCTCACCATCTCCTCCTCTGTCATTACTCAAATGGCACCTTCTCAGTTGCCCTCTCACTTCCCGACCGCCAGCCACCCCCATTCCTCTTCCTTGGTTTATACTTCATAAAACTTTCCACCTGACACATATGTTTTACCTCTCTATTTTGTTCATGAATCTGTCTCTCCCCTGAGAATATATGAACTCGGGTGATGATAAACTGATCAAGCCAAATGTTTTAAATAAAGACATACAGGGCCTGGGTGGCGCAGTCGGTTAAGCGTCCGACTTCAGCCAGGTCGCGATCTGGTCCGGGAGTTCGAGCCCAGCCAGCGTCAGGCTCTGTGCTGACAGCTCAGAGCCTGGAGCCTGTTTCAGATTCTGTGTCTCCCTCTCTCTCTGCCCCTTCCCTGTTCATGCTCTGTCTCTCTGTGTCTCAGAAATAAATAAACGTTAAAAAAAATTAAAAAAAATAAATAAAAATAAATAAATAAATAAATAAATAAATAAATAAAGACATACAAGTTACTCCGGCTGTCTTCACGAGCTGCTAATTAGCCATTTTGTCTATAAAACAGCAAAGGGCACATGCACACAAGTATTAGATACAGTTTTTCTCACATGGCTTAGTTATCCCTGAAGGTAATGCCTTTCCCCACTGACACAAACCACAGGATTTTCTACTCAGAGGGTTTTGAGATCATGTAATCAGGCCGATTAATGATGCTTTTATTCTCCCCCAAACTGGTGGTAAACCCATTGTAGAATCAATTCTTTGGCACTTAGAAAATTCAAATATGGTTTCAATTCATACATATAAATGAGAAAAAGAAGTAAGATTATAACTTGTAAAAAATCGTTTTTATTGGGACACCTGGGTGGCTCAGTGGGTTAAGCATCTGACTTTGGCTCAGGTCATGACCTTGCGGTTCGTAAGCTCGAGCCCCGTGTCGGGCTCTGTGCTGGCAGCTCAGAGCCTGGAGCCTGCTTCGGATTCTGTGTTTCCCTCTCTCTCTGCCCCACCCCTGCTCACAATCTTTCTCTGTCTCTCTCAAAAATAAATAAACATTAAAAAAATTTTTTTAATCTTTTTTATTGACCCTCAATGACATTAATTTATTTTTATTTGATGGTATATATGTGATCTATATATTATTCTATATGGTATAGTTTACCACCAAACTGTTTATTTAATAAATACTCAGTTTAGTACCTATTATGTCCCCGGCCACTGTGTTGGATGCTCTGGATTCAGGAATGAGCAAAAACATATACCATGTCTGTCCTTAGGTAGCTCCCATTCTGGAGGGAAGATATACCGTTAAGAAGTAGTATAGGACCAACAGGTGTCCTCGGAAACCTTGGGAAATTTCCCAAGAGATACAGTGTAGTTACATCAGGTAGTGTATGACCCACGAGACTAGTTCTGCTTGCTCAGCACTATGACTCTGTGGACAGAAAAGGGTGCCCTGGGTATTATTAGAGTTGCAGTGCTAAGCATAACAATACTCAAGGTCATAAATACAGTGTTGTCCCAGGTCTCTTCCACCATTCGTTTGTTCATTCAGTCATTCTTTCAACAAATAGCTACCGATCACCTATAGCTGTCAACAAGACAGATAGGTCCCTTCCTGCCCTCACGCTGCCTTCAGGTCAGCCTGGGGGCACCCCAGCTACAGCTTTGAGCAACGAGGCTGGGGCAGCCCTCACGTGGCACTGCCCGAGCATCGTGGTGCTTGGGAGCGAGCAGCTCATAAGCTGCCCTCTGGCAGCCGGGGAGCAGGCTGCTGCAGCCCTCACTTTCACTTTGACTGCGGGCTGTAAGGTTCGGGGAGCTGCCACATTCTGAAGGAGGAAAAATAAATCACGTTTCTTACTTCTGTCATTTTCTATTTCCAGCCTTAGAAGAAAAGGGAGAAGAATTTGCTAGCATGCTTACAGAGCTTCTCTTTGAATTACATGTTGCAGCCACGCCTGACAAACTCAATAAGGTCAGCACTGTCTAAGTCTCAGTTTTTATTGTTGTTGTTTTTAAAGTTACCGGTTGTAAAGTTCAAGAGATCCACCTGAAATGGAAAAACCCCAAACCCCAAATGGCACATGGTGATGGGGGAAGGAGAGTATGAGGTCACTAATTAAGATTCCAGGAGGCAACATAATGAAATGTGATGGGAGAGAACATGCTAGACTGTGTCAGGAGACCTGCCTTTTAGTTGCAACTTCACCAGTAATGACCCTGTGACCTTGAACAAGTCACTTCTCCTCAAAATAGAATTGTAAATCAGAGCAGTGGGTATCTTCAGCATAGGGGAGGGGAAAAGGGTACAGAATCACCAAGGGGTTTTTCAAAGTCCGTCTCCCCTCCCACGCTGCAGTGATGTGCCAGAATCATGCAGACAGAATCCCCTCAGCCGGGTCAGCCACACGCCCCCTCCCGCACAGAATGCTGGTGCCGCATGGAGTCTAAGAACCATCCAGCTTTTTCAGTCTGGGTTCTTCTAATTGTACCACAGCATGTTTTGCAACTTAGTGTAAGGACTTGCCGTGGAGTTTGTTAATGAAGACACTGCGTATTAAGTACTTAAAACTGTGTTATTTTTCCCATTCTCTTTTTTTCCCTTCTCTTTAGCAAGCAGTAGTTGATGTAGGCCCTCACTTAATCAAGGTGGGTGAGGAAAGGGCAGGATGAGGCAGTGAGGGGGAGACATGAGTAATTTCTTTATCTCAGATAGAGGTCACCGATTCTGGCAGGTCAGTGACTTGAACACAGTGGGAAATTGACTCATTTATCTCTGTGCAGCACCTGCCACTGCTGTGTGTGTGTGTGTGTGTGTGTGTGTGTGTGTGTGTGTGTGTGGTGTCTCCAAGGTCCCACTGGCTTGTGGACATAGTCAGCTAAGCTTTAAGATGAGAAGTAAGTTTAACATAAGCTCAGATACAACTTTCACTTAAGCAAACAGCTTTAAACCGTAATGTAAAAACTCGGTGAGTCTGCCCTTTCTAAATTCAGGGAATGACAGATGGGGAAGGGGGGTTGTTCTGCTTGTTCAATTTAGCCATAATTTTTTAGGCTTACAGGTTTCTCAGACTGCACTCATGTGAGATTAAACTAGTCATGGAGCAGCTCCAGGTCTTTCCCACAGCTCCTCTCCTCCCCCCTTGAGGTCTAATGTCTCCATGACGAGGGAAGAGAGAACAGATCCATCCTTCACCTTCACTGCATGATACATTACTAGGTTCATGAAACATTAAGGGTTTCATGAGCCCTATCAAATGAGGAAATTTGCTTTAGCAATGACCCTGGCTAAGTCTCTAACCTATATATAAAAAAGTACTGTTATTCTTTTATAGTTGGTCATGAAAAGTGAAAAATATACTATCGGTCTTTCAAGGTGACTGTCCTTTTTATTCTTACCCGTGTATCCTTTCACAGTGTGTTTTAAAAAGGTCCTGCAGTGTTCTCGCCATACTTTCTATCCTGCCCCCTTTTCTTACTTTATATTCACCAGAAAGCACCAACAAGGTGCTTTTAAGGGGACTAAGGAATTGCCTCATCACTTTTTGAATGTACAGAGAATCACCCTTGAAGGTTTAGGGCAACTCTACTGTAGTCTGGGGATTGGAATTTCTTCGTCTCCCAATTTGCATAATAAACGAATTGCTTTGGTTGGGGGGCCTTTGCAGGCCATGAAGAAGGCTCATGACTGGGTGGGAAAAGATCAAGCTACCGTATCAGTAGATATGGCAGAAGAGGCAGAGGAGAACACCAGAAAGGAAGAAAAGGAAGAGAAACCAGAAAATCCCGAAGAAGACAAAAAGGAAGAGAGAAGAACTAAGACAGTTGAGGTAAATGTATTTGAGATTACCTAAAGAGCAGTGATATTACCTTTATTTCACTAGTAGCCGAATTTCAAGTGAGGAGAAAGCACTTCATTTTCATTTGTATCCTGTTTCACATTATAGAAATATGAGTATTAATGGGATAAACACTAAAATTTCTCGATGCCAAGACAATTCGTGACTTAGCATAGATATTGTAGTTTTTCGCCAGAGCTTTACAATGATAATTTAAAGGAAAGAAGATCTTTAAGAACATAGTTGATTTATCGTTAGGATAAAACTCCATCTTATATGCAAATTTGTAACTATAAAAGGTCTTTATGCCCCATAAACTAATGAGGTAATTGAAGCTTTTTCCAGAAAAAAACTTCATAGCCATGGTTTCTATTCTATAGTTTAATAAATTTATGTGAGCATAATTTATAACCTGTGTTCAAAAATGAGTTTGCAATAACTTCGCTTTTACATTGAATTTTCATTTTAGAGAAAGTAGATTTTAAATTTGACCACTATAAAGAAAAATGTCCAGTGAGGTTGACTTATTCAGCCATTCTTCCACAAGCATTTTTGAGCAGCTGCCTGTTGTGTGCCCAGAACTGCTCTGAGAACTAGGGACACAGATGTGAGTGTTGCCGTGACACCGGGGACCCGGCAACACCTCCATGTTATGGCAGCCTTTCTACTTAGAAAAGTCTCCGATACACCCATTCACCTTTGGGTAAACTTGTCAGGCCATTTTTTCCCCAAGAAATATATATATATATATATTTTTTACAAGTTTATATATGTATGTGTATGTGTGTGTATATATATATATAT